AACAAATCCCGTCCATATCTAAGCTCTGGACATCACGGTCCCCGTTAGCTAGTGCCGTGTGTGCCAGCCTCGTGCATTTTATGTACGTTTTCTCTCGTCCTCAGCACAACCTGGTAAAGTGGGTCTTGGGTTATCTAATGCCGCATAGCAAACCACCCCACAATTCAGTAACTTAACACCTTTATTCTCATGATTCTGTGGGTCGACTGGGCAGTGCTCCGTGCCATGTGGCTGCCTTCAGCTGAAGGCTGGGGTGGGGGCCTCAGGTCTCTGGTGGTACCCTCTCTCTCCTCCTCCGGGGCTTCTCCATGTGGCCTTTCTCTCCGGTAGGACAGCCTGACTTCCTTAAAGCACAGCAGCTGGGTTCCAGGAGGGGCGGGTTCCCAGAGGACGAGCACCCAGCGGACTAGTACTTATGAAGGCACTGCTTGTGTCATGCTTGCTAATGTTCCATTCGCCAAAGCAAGTCACACAGCTTTGTGAATATCACAGGGCGTGAATATCATGTGATCCATAGGGGGCCACCAGTGGATCAGTCTGCCACCGTAGGTACCATTAATCCCTTTGTTGTAGGTGAGGGCATGGAGGCTCAGAAAGGTTGATCCCGTTGCCCAAAGTAATTCGCATGGCTGGGGACAGAGGGTCCAGCGGGGAACATGTTCTTAGCTGACAGTACTGGGTCAGCCTGATACAGGTGGAGGGTGTACAGTGGGATGGGGGAGGTACCAGGAACCCAGTGCAAATGACAGCTTCCAGAGCCCTTTAACCCAGAGGACAGTCTGCGAGATTCCCTGGCCCACCTACTGGGTGCTCTCCCTGATGGCTCCCCCAGCAGGTCAGAGCTATGGGGCTGTGTGAGGGCACAGGCGGTACTGGGAGGCATTGAGAACGTGCTCCAGGCCACAGTCCCAGTTTTCAGTCTGGCGTTGTGGCCCCATCTGCCTCCCAGCCGTGTTCCTCCCTCTCCTTAACTCCTGGATGGCTTCTACAGCACTGGCTGGCTTGTCCTTATTCACTGTTTGGAAAGCCTTCCCACTTCAGAAAACTAGGTTATGGGGCTGGCCCAGTGGCGTGGTGAATTTCGGGTGCTCTACTTCAGCGGCCCGGAGTTCATGGGTTCAGATCCCCAGTGCAGACCTAGCACCACTCATCAAGCCATCAAGCCACACTGTGGAGGCAACCCACATAAAACAGAGGAAGACTGGCACAGATGTTAGCTCAGCAACAATCTTCCTCACAAAAAAAAAAGAAAGAAAACTAGCTTATTCTTCCTAGGAGAATGAGGTGCCCTCCTGGGTACAGCAGCCCCATGCTTCCCCTAATCCCAGCACCTACCACATGGGCTGTAACCGCCTGGCATTTCTCTCTCTCCCTTCTCTGCGGTGGTCTCTTTAGGGCAGTGGCCTTTAGGACCCATCTCTGGCTTTCAGCACCCACACCCAGCAATGGTTGGACTGAACTGAAAGTTCTTCCTCCTGGGAGCTGCTCAGTCTTAGCACAATGCCCATGTTTTTTCTGCAGGCCCCAAAGACTTCAGCAGACATCTGCTGGGTGCCCTGCCCTGGCCTGGGAAACAAGGGGGCACTGAATCATGCAAGGCCCATATTCCAACCCGAGTTCTTTCCCTCATAAGCTGGGGGACACTGAGAAAGTCACTTAACCTCTCTGAGCTCAGCCTCCCTTTTGTATTCAGTACAGACAAGAATGGTCTCTTCTTTCCAACTCACCCGGGGTCAGAGTCAGCAGGAACTGAGGGTGAGAAAGTGCCTCCTTTGGGAACTGACACAGCTTTTGTGTGTTGGGGATCCTTCTTTTTAAGGGGTCCTATTTGTAGGGCTCTAAGAAAGGCTTCTGTTCCCTGTATCCCTGGACCTATCGTGAGGCTGAAATTCTGCCGTCGGTCATTCCTTTGATAAGGTATTTTTATTATTTATATCCAAACGGTCCCTCTTAAGAGATGCCAGGTGATCTGGAAAGGCTAACATGTTAGCCCAGGAGCAAAGCCTGCTGTGCCACCAGTGACCATCTCTTCCCCGCTCGCTCTCTGACGCAGGTGCTGAAGGTAGACAGGTGTGAGCTTTGTGGAGCTCAAGTTGCCAAGACTTATCCAAAACCTTCCAAACCTGCACACTTTTAGCGCCACAGTTCTTCCTCTGGAAATGTATTCGAAGGAAGCGATGTGTTCACAACTGTGTGTGCAAGGAAGTCTTATTTATAGTAGCACAGAATTATAAATAACCCGAATGTCCAAGAATTGGTAATGGGCTTAATAATGGCATGTATGTGCAGTGAACTGCTCCCAGGCCCGGCTTCAGAGGCCTCTGCCCAGCACAGTTGCACAGGCCCCACACTCAGAGGGGCCCCTCGCTTGGTTCAATGCTCTGCTGTCACCATCTTCAAAGTCTTAATCATTTTTTTCAAAGGAGCCCCTCATTTTTATTTTGTGCTGCATCCTACAAATTATATAGCCATTTCCTGAATATGACATGACAATTAAAATAACGTTTATGGAGAACATTTGTTGAAGGGGAAAAATGTTTCTATTAAATGAAGAAACTAGGCTACAAATCCATAAATGATGAAATTCTAATTTTTTGAAAACATATATATGTATTAATAGAAAAAAAGGTGAGAGAGAAATCCATCAAAATTTTAGAGGAATTATCTCTGAAGGAGCAAGATTACAGGCATTCTTTTTATTCTCTGTTCTTCCTTGAGCAGTTCTCGTATCTTCCAGCACGGAGGGTATGAATGTGCTCTTTGACTGATCTTTCTGGTGGAGGCAGAAGTGCGTGCGTCGTAACTGAGAACAGTGATTGTCTCTCGGCCTCTGATTGAGTCTGGCTGGAGCCCTTGGCATGCAGGGTAAACTTCTGGATAAACACGCAGAGAAGTTCAGTTGATGAGGAGGCCAAGTGTTCTTACCTTGAAGTCGAGGGCTGTCTGAGTCCCCAGTCTGCACTCCCCGTCACAGGCCTGGCGTGGACAAGGCATCCAGTGAATGGCTTGAGGTCTTTAGGGGTCTTTACCTGTGACACTTTGTCAGATGTGAACTTCATTATGTTCTGGCTTCAAGGTGGGACCTCCTCTCTGGTTTGGGGCTGGATGGGTGCCCTGAGTGATCTCTGGACCAGGGAGAGGAGCTGCCCCACCCCAAGTTCCCTGGTGCCCCCTCTCCCTCTGGGAGCAGGCTCCAGGAGAAGAGATCAGATTTATTCCTGTGCAAAGCTGGGGAAATGCAGCTGGCTCCACCTGTCCCCCTTGTGCATGGATCTCATTGCAGGCTTCATCCCAAGAGGAGAGGGCAGTAGTGCTCAGCAAGCCCAAGAGGAGACTGGGAGTGGGGGAGGGAAGGGGGAGGTGGTCCTCCTGTGGGGAGTGACCCCACTCACTCCACACCCATTTCCCGGATTTCTCCTTCTCTCCTGAATCTTGATCAGCCTGTTGCTGACTGTCCTGACTCTGAGCCAGGCGTGGCCAGAAACACGGCAATGCTAGAACCTCACCTCTGTAAAGCCAGGGCCTCTGAGTTAATGTCCCCCGACCCCCTCCTATGACAGATGGAAACACTGGGCCCCAGAGAGGGGATGGACTTGCTCAGAGCCACACAGGAACTACGGGCAAACAGGGCAAACAGAGTTCTAATCGCTACAGTGGGGAGGCAGGGCTCACAATGTGGAATTGCCCCATGCGGAAAGGCTGTTAGAGGGAGCTGGGTAGCTGCAAGGATGGGAGACGCTCCCTGCACCTGCACACAGGTCCCAGTCCGGACCGTGGCTCCTGGGCTGTCTCGCCTCTAAGTTCCCACACGTTGAGCCTGTGTTTCTGGGTGGGCCCTTCTGCTCCAATGAGACTGAAATCTCCCGAGGGCATGGGCGGGGCCTCCTCCAGCTGTCTGTCTGGCCTTCAGTGCACCGAGCACCTGGCGGGGCACCCCGTGCTTAGGGAGGATGTGAGGGCTCAAAGGTAGGGGCGGGGCTGGGGCCAGCAAGGCAGCGGGAGCTTCCTCTTCTTTCCCCCACGTTTCCCTGGAACCCACCGAGGAGCGTCCTGAGCACGCCCTTGGTGGCCCATCTCTGTGCCTTCGTCTCCTGGTAGCCAGCCGAGAACCCCTCTCCCCCAGCGCCTCCTTTCCTCGGCTTCAGCTCCCTTCTCCTGTCCTTCAAGGCCAGGCCCTGGTGCCTCCTCTTCTCAGAACTTCCCCTTCCCTGACTGTCATCTGTGTCATACAGACCACAGCCCCTGGTCTGTAACTCTGGTGACCCTGGGCGCCTAAAGAAGCAGTGCAGTCCACTGGGGAGGGGGACTTCGGTCCCCACAGATCTGTGTTCTGACCTGGCACTGCCATTGACCACCTGGGTGAACTTGGCAAGGCCCTCAACCCGCCCTGTAAGACGGAGATGCTAATCCGTGCTCCACAAGGACGGTGGCAAGCATTTAGAGAGGGCACAGAGAGTGCCTGAGGAGCGGCCATTTGTACCTACATTCGGTTATTTACAGCTAAGGTTGTTCTGCGTGAGAGGAAAAGCTCTTTGAGGGCAGGGGTGGGGTCTCTTTGGTGACCCAAGACCTCGAAAAAGTTGAAACAACGAATGCATAGGTGAATGAATGAAATGTCTGGGGATGGGCAGGGTACTCTGAGAAGTCTGCGTCTCACCAGCAAGATGCGGGACAGCAGCCCTCACCCCACCCCCGCCTGGGGTGTGCTCTGCCGGCAAGAGCCCCTGCCCTCCCCAGCCCCATTCCCCACCCTTGCACGGACAGCCCCACCCCAATGACGTTTTCTCTCCTAATTACCCCTTTAAATGAAATGAAGATTTCCTTAAATTTTAAACCTGATTTGCATTCTTTGATGAGAGCATGTGATGGACAGGGGGTCTTATTTCCTATAATGAAATTGACTTGAGCACACTCTGGATTATCAAGGTTGGGGCGGCCCCTCCCCCAGCTCCCAAGGGCTGCTTGCTCAAGATTGACAACTGTGGTTTTTTGCTTGGCAGACCACGGTGAGCTGGGATGGGGACAAGCTGGAGTGTGTGCAGAAGGGCGAGAAGGAGGGACGTGGCTGGACCCAGTGGATTGAAGGTGATGAGCTGCACCTGGTAGGTTCTTGGGGCAGGGGGCTGGGGAGGGCAGGCCAGGCTGCACCCCAGAGGCCCTGGTCACTGTCCAGGTCCTGATGGACCTTGGAAGAATGCCTCATGGCTGGGCCTTCGTTCTGCTCTGAAGCTTCTCTTCCAAAGGCCTGCAGATGACACTTGAATGACTTTAAAAATTGAGCAATGTGTTTTCAAGGTCTAGGCTTACCCAATTGTCCAGTCAGAGGGAGGAGGTGAGGGGATGCGTCTGCTAAACGTCAGACATGGAGCAAAGCCCTTTGGCCTTCCATATCACTGTCTGTTCTTTCAGCAGCCCTCCAGGCCAAGTACTGTTGTAGTCCCTGTTTTGGAGATGAGAACGTGGACGCTCACATCCGAGTTACATGGCTAGAAAGTGGCAGAATTAAAATTTGCTCCCAAATGATGTCTATTTTCACCATGCCTAATTGTGACAGGCCAGAACCAAGGAGAATTCTCTAAGCTTCTCTAAGACATGATCTCAATAGTCTAGGTTGGGGGAGGAGAAGTCTTTCTCAGTTCAGCTGTGGGCCATCCTCACCCTGTCCTTGGGCCTGGGACCTCTAGTCAAAGCCATTTCTACTCCATCCATTGTCTGGGAAAGCACACACAAATCCAGAGTAGGGGCCTTAGTCCTGGAGGGCCAGAATAACACGTGTCCTCTGAGAGGAGACCTCCCACCACTCCTCCTGCCCCTTGGAACTCCCCAACTACCTTCCTTCCTAGAAAGGAGCCTGGTCCAGGAGACCTGGGTGCTAGTCCTGGCTCCCTGAGTGCCTCCCTTCCCTTAGCCTCATCTGCCAAATGCCGTCCTACCACATGGGGCTTCCGCAGAGATCAGGGGCTGCAGGATGCCCGGAAGAGGTGCCAGGGCCTTATTTTCAGAGGCAGCTTAGGTTGCCGCGGAGAGCCTGGGCTGCAGCGCCTGACCTTGAGCCAGTCTCCCCTGGGCCTCTATTTCCTCAGCTGCAGAGCGTGAGGGTAAATGATGTGATCTCCATTGGCCCTTTCAGCTCAATAGTTCTGTGGCTCTAGGCCAGAGGCTGCAAACTGGGAACCCCAGGCCTCTTTCATTTGGCTGTCAATGGGCTTCAAACTTCTTCAGCCAACAACTTAAAAATTAGGAGATGTCACATAAATATTCAGATTTCCAGCCTCCTTCAAAGAAAAAAAAAAAAATCTTGGCAGACGACAACACTGTGCTGTTGCTCCCCTTGGTGACACTCAGCAGGAGCTGGCCTGCTGGCAGCGCACAGGCTCCCCCAGCTGCAGTTTAATGTTACCTGGGGGCTTTTAATCACAGCCATCCCGGTACTGCACCCACTGAGATACTGATGGAACTGGTCTAGCGGAGACCCAGGCTTTTGTCAAACTCCCCAGGTAAGTCCACTGTGCAGCTGAAACCTGTAAAACAAGCTGTGAAGCCTGGAACCACCGCCCTGGTTTGCAGCCCTGGTCTGCAGTGACCTGTTGAGCCCTTTGGGGAAAAATAGCAGCCCCCGAGTATTTTCAAAGTTTCTGTCCCTAGATGCGCGGGCCCCAGGTGTGGCCGTGCCCTGGCCGGTGACAGGCACCTGCTTCTGTTTCAGGAGATGAGGGTGCAGGGAGTGGTCTGCAAGCAAGTGTTCAAGAAGGTGCACTGAAGCGGAGCAGACCTTGGCCGCGAGGAGCAGTGGCCTGGACGTGGGGCCGGGTGCCCTCTCCTCTCTCTGCACAGCGTGGGGCGGAAATGCCCAGGCCGCTGCCAGCAGGGTCTGTCTCTTGGCTTTGTCTCTTCTCCTCTTCTTAAAACGAAACCGTCCCAATAAAAGTGATCTCTGCTCAAGACGTCTGTTTTGGAGAAGCTTCAAAACCCCACTGTCTCCCCTTTTCTCTGGGGCTTCTGAAGCCACGTCACCTGATGCTACCTCTGGGCAGAAGGTGGAAATCCAGCTGCATGCCTGCGGATTTGGGCCTGGTATTGCACCCGTGCGGCTGTTCCCCAGGGGCACAGGCTTGGGGCCAGGGTGTGTGACCTGGCATTCGGTCTTCTGTGTAGTACGTACCTACCACCTTACACATCCCATCAGGGCCAGAGTGTTGTGAGTGCCACAGACACAGGAGAAGGTGGCCTCCACCCTGGGAACTTGGAGCCAAGTTAGGGAGGTCCACCCAACAGAGATCTCTAACTGTACACACAGGAGATGGTCTCAAAATTATTTCCGAATGAAATGGAACTGGATGGAATTGTAAGCCCAAAGCTAGAATGAGGTGAACCCTCACCAAGGGCAGTTACCAATTGGGTTTGAGTTCAGAAGTGTCATGAACACATGCTTCACCACCCCAAAACCATCCCCACCTCATCCGTGGGCTGATGAAATGCCTGCCTTTTCACTGTTGCAGATGAGGCATAACTTGCAAATCCCCCTGGAAGAGGAAAGCAGCCTCACGCTCACACTGAAGTGTAAATGATTGCTAGCTGTGTCTTTGCATAAAGAAAGACAGGGTAACTGAAGGGTGAAGAAGGAGGTGGGAGACCATGGAAAGAGAGTACTCCATTGGGGAACCCCCAATATCGAGTCTGCCCAAGCTGTGCCCGGTCCCTTGGAAGGAGTACGCACCAGGTTAGGAGTCGGATGAGCTGAACTCACAGGGCAACACAACACCTCTCTGGACCTCACTTCTTCAGTCAGCAAACACAGTAATAATCCGCCTTACCTCCGGCACCGGCGGACTGTGAACTTGTGATGTGTATGAAACTTGTGCTAACTAGTGCTCTCAGACCCAGCCGAACATTAGAGCCACTCGGGAGCTTTCAGAATCCCCTGTCCCCAGGCTGGTCCCCAGAACCCGTTTTATCCGAGGGTCTCGAGGTGGGGCCCAGGCATCAGTATTCTTTTGAAGCCCCCAGGTGACTCTAATATGCCCCTGTGATTGAGAATCACTGCCCTCGACCAGCATTTCTAACCCGGGGGACATCCAGCACCCACCCAGGGACATGTGGCGATCGCTGGGCACATTTGATTCAACAACTTGGGTGGGGGCACTACTGGCACCTAGTGGGCAGAGGCCAGGGATGCTGCCAAACATCCCACGACGCCAGGACAGCCCCACAACAAAGAAGTGTCCAGCCTGGCATGTCAACAGTGACAAGGTTGAAGAACCCTGCCCCAGACAGATGATTTTTAATAATGATTTTCATTATCCTGGTCACTTCCCGAGCCTGGATCAAGGAAATGAAAACCCCAAATTGCCTAGGATTTTTTTTTTTTAAAGATTGGCACCTAGGCTAACAACTGTTACCAATCTTCCTTTTTTTTTTCTTTCTGCTTTATTTCCCAAACCCCCCGATACATAGTTGTATATCTTAGTTGCAGGTCCTTCTAGTTGTGAGATGTGGGACTCCACCTCAACGTGGCCTGACGAGCGGTGCCATGTCCGCGCCCAGGATCTGAACCCTGGGCCGCCGCAGCGGAGCTTGCGAACTTAACCACTTGGCCACGGAGCCGGCCCCCCAAATTGCCTAAGATTTTGAAGATCCCTTCACCTTTGCGGCCTGCTCTCTGTCCCTGAGGGAGGAGAATTCAGAGGCAAAGATTCTTGTAAAGACCGTCGATTCATTCTCCCCACAAATGGCTACTGAAGACCTGGGATGTGCCAGGCGCTGAGCTAGTACCACGCCTGTTGGGCGTCCAGGAGTTCCCGTCCCACCCCAGGTACGGAGACCCCCATCAGACCAGCCTCAGTGCATAAATGTCCCACCCAGCAGTTAGGGTCTGTGGAGGACGCACAGGTGCGGCCCTGTTAGTGTGTCATATGACGTGGGCGTCACGGCCCACCCTTGGGGGCCTCAGTCCCCTTCTGATTGAAGAGCTTGAATACTGGGACCTATTCTAGTGGGCAGTGGGAGCCACAGGAGGTTTTTGAACAGGAGAGTAACATGATCAGCCTTTCAGCAGAATGGATCTGGCAGCCACTCTCTTGGCAGCAAAGAGAGAAAAGAGCGAGGAATACCACTTGGAGCTTAGCACGGGGCAGTCACATTTAATTCACCATTCGCTTCATATGAGACTAATCTTCCTGAAGAAGCCTACGCAGAGCGGAAGAGATGTTTCCTATTGTGCATGAACCTGTAGCCCCAGAAGCCGGCTTTGGCTTTAGCGCTGCTTTCTGCTTTCTCAGCACCGGCTCTAGTACCTGGCAGATGGCTCGCTCCTGCACTTGGCAGCCGCCTGCATCCCGGTGCTCACGCAGACTTCTTTGTGCCTCTTCAGCCCCTCTCACCTCCGGTCCAGAGCTATTGATGTGCGCTCCGTTTCTGGAAGACTGCTGCGAGCTCCACCACTTACCTGACCCTTGGGTTGTTACAACATATAAAAAAGATTTTCAGTTCTCACAAGTGCCTGAGAACGTAACCGAGCGCCGGGAATGGACTCATTCACCATGTTTCCAGAGCACAAAGCATGGCAACAATGCTGTGATGCCCACAGGGCTGACAACGGGTGGCGGCTGTCTACTTCCCAGCTTGCCTGGTGCCACTAGGCTGTAGAGATAGTCACTACGCTGACGATTCCCTGGGTCTGCCAACTTGGAAGGGGTTTTTGACGTTTTTTGAACTAGATGGTTACAATGTGTCAAAATGCACTGTAAGGGAGAACTTACTAATATATTTACATCACATAACTTCAGATTTTCAGAAGCTAGGGCTGCCACATGCAGCAACGGAGGCAGGAAGTGCTGAGGCCGAGCGAAGGGCGATGGCAGCCCTCCCTGAGGACAGGCAGCAGATGGAGGGGCTGAGCACCCAGGCACTGGAGCCACGGGGCCTGGGTTCAAGTCCCATCTCTGCTACTTCCTGGCTCAGTGAGGTTAAGGCAAGTCACGCAACGTCTCTGTGCCTCAGTTTACTCATCTGTAAATCGGACTAACAATTCTTCACAGACTTTTTGTGAGGATTAAATGAATCTAATCCGTGTAAGCAATTTAGAACAGATATATATTTTATTTGCAAAGAGATTTTAACAGTGCCTGGCATATGACAAGCCAACTTACATGTGGGTTAAAAAAAACAAAAACAGAGATCTGAGAGGCACTTCAGGGGTGAAATCAATATGACCTCACTGCTGACACGGCTCCCTGACAGATGAGCAGGAGGAGCCCAAGCTCAGGGTCAGTGGGGAGACTTCGACAGAAATCAGGCTCCTCTAAGGCAGGAAGCCCCCAGACAGCCTCAGTGGCAGCCGAGGCCTCCCTCACATCCTGGGGGTACAAACCTAATTGCAGGGTATCTGCCTGCCCCCCTACCCACACATGCACCAACGGGACACTGATTGGGACCCCAGGGTTTCTGGTGCACAGATGCGGTGACCCACCATCACAGGGCTGGCGGGAAGATGGACTTCAGGCCGTAGACCCCCAACACTCCTGAAATGTCATTGTCTGAGCAGCTTCCACAACCGTCCCACAAGCAGATCCTGGGGAGAGGAACCCCCAGGACCTCTCCAGAAGCCCTAATTTATAACCTCTGTCTCCATTAATCAGGACACCCCTACTGTTCCTTTCAGGTGCAAATTAAACAGCTCCACGCCGCACTGCAATGAAACTTGCTTAATCCTCCTAAAAGTCCCTCGACCACCGATGCTGCCGGGAGCAATCCCCCATGCCGCCCCACCCCCACCCGCAGATCTGGGTCTTTCACAACCTGAGTTCCCATGGGCCTCACCAACTCAGCCCGAGCCCCACATTTCACCCTGAGCTGGAGACCTGTGGGGCTGAGTCAGCGTGGGCGGTGAGGCCCTGCTCATCCCGAATCACAGGAACGGGCTTTTCTCTCAAGGAGAGTTGGGACAAGGAAAGAGATGGCTGTCCTTTTGGAAAAAAAGGACTTGATTCACTCTGGGAATGACACTCACCAATGATGACATCCCCCATTTCCAGTCCAATAAACAACCTTACCAATCCTTCGGAGATGAGTTTGGGGTCCCCTTCTCATCCCTCCACAGTCCAGGAAATTCCCCCCTTCTTTGAGCTCTGATCCTCTCAAGGGTGGGCCTGGCCATTTCTCTGTTCTGAGACATCCTCAATAAAGAAATACCAGATCAGAATGACAAAAGTTGTGGTTTATTTTAAATGGTTGCGTGTAACAAATTAGATAGCACACAGAAATACAATGTAATATAATTATGTTGTGCTAATTCCAAGATAGTTATAAGATTTATGAAATTAATCAATCCCAAATGTACCCTAGGTAATCTGGTCCAATCAGGGTACACAAGTTTAATGGTGGAGAATGAACTTCATTCTGTCCCATGACTGTCTCTCGGTGACCTTCACGTCACTTCATTTGGTGATAATGTCGAAAGTTGAAAAGCCCTTCATGAAGGTGATGTCTGCGCCAAGTGGGTCCTTTCCTCCAACACCGCAGAGCCCCACTGGAGGCCCTGTTTGAACTCCTAACACTTAACTTTCAGTCTTCCCATTTTCTTAGCCCCCCCCCCCAGTGGACATTCATCACATTTGTGGCTGTCTGCCATCTTGTGAACAACTCTCCCAAGGCTGAGGAAGTTCCTGCATTAGGAGTTCCATCTCTCTAAGGTGTTAGTGGGAGGCAGATCTAGCTGTCCCAGCCCACCTTGCATCCAGGCTCCAGGAATGAGACCGAGTTTCCCTCAATTAGATGCACCCGAGTGAAGAGATTTGGGGAAAAGGACTGCGTGAGGAAGGTGGGTACCGCAGAGTCAATTCTTTGGAAACAGTGGGAGCGGAGGAATTGGCATTGGGCTGGCACCAGGGGCAGAGCTTTGGTTCCTGGTGTCCGGCATCAAGGGCGCCATCTACACGAGCAGTGG